GAAGAAAGGAAGGCATATGAAGCTATTGGAGATACAAAAGCATGGAATAGATTTGGCTGTGTTTTTTGAGTAGCAGAAAGTGTATTTAGTTAGAAAGGGTTGACATGATCCATTGAATCTTTAGAGTAAGGACTGAAAGTGTATTTAGTTGAGACAAAATGCATGTTTTGGTAGGTTGTTATTTTGGGAACTACTGGAACTATCATTTTCCAGATTTCTTTATTGTATTTTCTTCTTGTTAATAAATATAATTTCCTCAGTTTTTCTCTTAATTGATTGTTTGGTGAGTGAGGATCTTGGTTGACAAAATTTATGGCTGTTGTTTTATCAGTTTTTTTCTTAATTTGTTGAACACTTATTAGTGAATCAAAAAACAATTTTTATTAGTGAATCAGAAAACAATTTAAATGGTTCTGATGAGTACTTTATGAGATTATCAAATTAGTCTTGGTCGCTTAAGCGATAAAAGCTATCGCTGAAGCGATCAAGACTTATCTATACTGGATCGCTTAAGCGAGAACTGACATCACTTATACGATCGTGTACTTAAGGATTATATAGACACAAATTAGCCTTGATGTGTTGGCTATCGCTTAAGCGATCAAGGCTTGTATATACTGGATCGCTTAAGCGAGAGCTGGATCGCTTAAGTGAGAGCTGCATCGCTTAAGTGATCGTGTACTTGAGGAAAATTTAGACACAAATTAGCCTTGGTCGCTTAAGCGATGTGGGTTATCGCTTAAGCGATCAAGGCTTATCTACGTTGGATCACTTAAGCGAGAGTTGACATCGCTTAGACGATCGTGTACTTAAGGATTATTTAGACACAAATTAGCCTTGGTAGCTTAAGCGATGTGAGCTATCGCTTAAGCGATTAAGGCTTATATATGCTGGATCGCTTAAGCGAGAGCTGCATCGCTTAAGCGATCATGTACTTGAGGATTACTGACACAAATTAGCCTTGGTCGCTTAAGCAATGTGGGCTATCACTTAAGCAATCAAGGCTTATCTATACTGGATCGCTTAAGCGAGAGCTAACATCGCTTAAATGATCGTGTACTTGAGGATTATTTAGACACAAATTAGCCTTGTCACTTAAGCGATGTGGGCTATCGCTTAAGCGATCAAGGCTTATATATGCTGGATCGCTTAAACGATCAAGGCTTATATATGCTGGATCGTTTAAGCGATCGTATACTTAAGGATTATTTAGACACAAATTAGCCTTGGTCGCTTAAGTGATATGAGCTATCGCTTAAGCAATCAAGGTTTATCTATGTTGGATTGTTTAAGCGAGAGCTGGCATCGGTTAAGCGATCGTGTACTTGAGAATTATTTAAACACAAATTAGCCTTGGTCGCTTAAGTGATGTGGGCTATCGCTTAAGCAACCAAGGCTTAAATACACTGGATCGCTTAAGCGATAGCTGCATCGCTTAAGTGATTGTGTACTTGAGGGTTATTTAGACACAAATTAGCCTTGGTAGCTTAAATGATGTAGGCTATCGCTTAAGCGATCAAGGCTTATATATACTGGATCTCTTAAATGAGAGATGCATCACTTAAGCAATCTTGTTTTTTATATGGATTATTTGACAACCCTATATTAAGTAATGTTAATATTAACATGGGACGTTCACAACATCACAAGATTCAGGAGAAAAGAAGCAAATTAGCCTTGATCGCTTAAGCGACATTGGTTATTAACACATATTAAGGCCATTTATGGAGGATTATTTGGCAACCTAATTCCATCAACACATATTAAGGCCATTTAAGAAGATTATTACCATTAATTTAAACCACTGACGTTCACAACATCAAAATATAACAGCTACGATATGTGACTAACAACCCTATGATACATAGAGAAATGTCATATCACACTAGTGTGACACGTTAGTAGAAACGTACCTCATTTCACAAATATATGTTTGAAAAGAATATAATTTCTCACCCAAACTTCACAATATCAAAAAATTGAGGAGAAAAGAAGCAAATTGGCATTGGTCGCTTAAGCGACGTAGGATATCTCTTAAGCGATCACGACTTATCTATACTAGATTGCTTAAGCGAGAGCTGACATCACTTAAGCGATTGTGTATTTGAGAAAGATTATTCTAAGTATAAAAGCAAATTACCCTTGATCGCTTAAGCGATATCAGCTCTCGCTTAAGCGATCCTATATAGATAAGTCGTGATCGCTTAAGCGACCAAGGCCAATTTTCTTTGTATTTGACTATTCCTTCTCAAATTCAAGATTGCTTAAGCGATGTCAGTTCTCGCTTAAGCGATCCTGTGCAGATAAGCCATGATCGCTTAAGCGATAGCCGACGTCGCTTAAGCGACCAAGGCCAATTTTCTTCATACTTGACTATTCCCTCTCAAATTCGATATTGTATAGATAAGTCGTGATCGCTTAAGCGATAGCCAATGTTGCTTAAGCGACCAAGGCTAATTTTATTTGTACATGATATTTCTGTCTCAAATTCAAGAAAATTAGCTTAAGCAATGTCACCGGTCGCTTAAGCGACCCTATATTGATAACATCTCAATATTGAATGAATTTATATGCATAATAACATCTCAATATTGAATTAATTTAGTAGCACAATAACAACTCAATATTGAATGAATTTCGTAGTACAATAAGAGCAACAATTATGTAACTAGAAGCATCCTTACTATCATCTATTCAAAACTTCAAACAAAAAGATATCCAATTGTCAACATAAAAAATTGAAAACAACAAAGCATTCATAACAAATCCATGAGACAAAAAAGGTAATCTCATAAAGTACTTATCAAAACCATTAAAATTGTTTTATGATTCACTAATAAGTCTTCAACGGTTGGCCTTGACAACTCTCTCGATTTTATCCTTCTTCTTGATGGCATAGCTAGAAATACAAGGATATAAAATTAGTTTAATGCACCACAAAAGATTGACATACAGCCAAGAGAAACTAGTGAACAAGTAAACGGAGCATCATCTAGCCACTCACCAAAATATTCAACACCTAAAAAAACTTGTCCCATGTCTAATAATAGCCAAGTCCCTATAATGCAAGAAAAAAAATTATTAACCGATATAATAAGGGTTGATAGATTTAAAAAAAAACATCTGCAGAGTCGTTTAAGCGATCAGGTGTATCACTTAAGCGATCCAATACATCGCTTAAGCGATCTGGTATAAATAAGCTTGATCGCTTAAACGATCTGCTGCCATATATCTGATCGCTTATGCGATTTGTTGCCATATACCAGACTTATACCAAATCACTTAAGCGATCTGCTACTATATACCAGACTTATACCAGATCGCTTAAGCGATCCATTAGCCACAAAATACGTTTTCAGTCATCTTCACCTATAATCAGTGCTACCACCCCCAGCTACCCACAATGCAAGAAAATCATCAACAAATCTCACTCCTTTCAACTTGCATTACATCAAACACAACCCAAGAACCTAAACCACTAAATTGAAATCATAACCCAAACCCAATCCATCATTAAATCTTTGTAAATAGAAATATAAAATGCAAAGAGGAGATACACATACCTAGACAAAATGTCAGGAGGAGAAAGAGGCGGATCTTTGGCGGAGAAGATGTTAATGGCGGAGGAAGAAGAAGGTGTTAATGGCGGAGGAAAAAGATAGTGTTAATGGCGGAGGAAGAAGAAGATGTAGACGAAGAAGAAGAAGATGTAGACGAAGCTTAGAAGAAACAACAACCAAGGGAGGGATGTAAAACCCCCCTCCAGTCAGGTATCCTCTGATTATCCCTCAATGAGAATCCTTGGGATACATGTCTAGAGAACGAGTTGTATTTAGAAAAAATATGTGTAAGGATAATAATAATAATATCCAAAACATGCATATAAAATATCACGCAGGATCCAAACTTATAATTTAGAAACTTTAAGAATTTATCCGGAAATTATACAAATGTATATGAAGCATTTAACGTGTAGCCGATCAAACTTCTCTTAGCGTCTTAAGCACTTCATATCATCTAGCCTCAAATTCATCTAGAGCTCATATCATCAAGAAACGTGTTTACGCGTTATTTAACATCTAAAGCATGTATTCATCTTTCCTCAACCGGTATACAAGGATATGCTTACGCGTTTTCCATCATGTCTATATGCATCTCTAACATCTTATGGCATGTAAATACATATTTTGGTGAGCTTAATACTTTTAATTCATCTATGGATTATCAATCCATTTACATTACCTCTTGCTCACATACATCTCTTAAAACATGTATTACATTGCATCTTCATGCCATTTCATAATATTAATCATGCATTAACATCATGACCNGTGGGACATCGAGTGGTGCTGCCAAATGGCAAGATCTTAGCGACTCCGCGTGTGGAAGCAAAAAATGAAATGAGCCCACACGGTTTAGATTGCTTTATTATTGTTAAATAAAACTAATAATGCCCACTTAGAATTTCTTATTGATGGAAAAAGTCCCAGAATTTTTCAAAATTGCGAGCGGCCCCACATCCTTTTTACTTTTAGCTGAGAAACAGAAGGGCAAAACTCTTTCATATTTTCTTAAATTAACAAACAACTTGCTTAATTAAACATCCTCTTGCAAGAAACCCCCACGAATGTTCACTTTTGCTTTTCTTTTGTCATAGAAAAGCTTTGGATTGAAGCATCATAAAGAAACATGATCCAATTATATTAATATTTATTTTAGTAAATATTAATAGGGACACTTCAACTTAAATCACATAGACAAGCAAAGCTGCCCTCATGTCATGTGCATGCAACTTCCAAATCATTTGTGTTTCCTTGTGGAACTTTCATTCTAAACTTCGCCTATATCAAATTCAGAATCAAATCATAGGAATTGGGTCATCACCACAAATTACATTATTTTTCTGTTTCTATATATATATATATATTATTCATTTATTGGCAAACATAAAATTGCAGATAAAATAGCAGAGAATAGGTAAAACTAGAAGAATAATATTATTGTACTTGTACCGATTATGTATTTTTTAATAAACAATGGTAATATCACAAAACACACAAATATACTACTATAACAATGGCCTATTGGCAAGTAAACACTCATAAAAAGTTGCAGCTCCACTCGAAACCCAGTTAAATATATCACAAGACTTGGAAATTTACTGGTAACATGCAACACAGCAGAATAGTCACCTTGGACAGAAAACTCAGATGCAACACAGAAAACGTGATCACCTAGAATAGCCAGGAGGTGGATAAGCAGGAGGATAGCCTTGTGACGGAGGGGGGTAGCCTTGTGACGGAGGGGGGTAGCCTTGTGCCTGAGGAGGTGGGTAACCGTAGGGCTGTCCATATGCATCATGCGGTGGTGGATATCCAACTGTGGGAGGATATTGCTGATCAAGGCGAGACATCTGTTGAACAGGGGGTACTGCCATAGGTTGTGGACCAAACACACCATCTCTTTTGTCCAATTCAATCTTGTGTTGTGTCTACACATAATCAAACAAAACGAAAGAAATATCACATTGAAATCATTCCATTCACAAGTATGTGAATCACTTGCATGTTGCATACCTGCATGCATGCACAAACCCTGCAAAGGAAAACATTCAGTGAATCAGTATGATATTTTGTAGCCATTTTTTGACTAAAAGCTTATAGCAGGGAGAAGACAAAGACCCTTACGTGCAATAAACTAGATCAGCCAACAAATTCAAAATCTGAGAAGCCTCCCGAAGTTCATCACTTCCAACAATGCATGCAACTATGGAAAATATGCATGCAACTTGCTGAAGGCAGAACATAAACCCCTGTTTATCAACAAATAAACATGATTAACAAATGGTAAATAAGTGCATCTATAATTACAGATTGAGAGAGATTTACGACAGTACAATAATAAAATTATCGCAGCGAGTTGTCTGGATGTTGAATTCATCTTGCAACAGAAAGCGAGTAGAGGCCACTGAATTTCCAAAGCAACAGAAAACCTGGAAATTAGCAGAATTTAAAAGTAATTAATGATTGAAAGAAAAGCGTTTACAATTGCCATGTCAGTTTATAATGAATTAATTTCACATCAAAGCATGTTAAGTTCATCATTTCATTGAATAGTGACGACATAGGAGAAGGCATTCTATGAATACTGAACAAACAAAAGCTAAGTTCTCCTTTTTGAAATAGAAGCTATAAGAAAAAAATGTAGGCATATCTTGTGGCCACAAATTCCATAGCTGTGTTTTAACCAAGAAGCTGAGAACATAGACCATGAAAAACAAAGCAACGGCATTGACAAACAAAACCCATACCTCAGTGCCAAGGCAAACTTCGGGACAAGAACTTTCATAACACCTGCCGCTGCAGGGCATATAACCAGCACAACAGACATACCTATGAAAAACAAGATGAAACTATAATTACACCAAAGTATTACATATTAAAACAGCTAAGATCAGAGTTAAACAGAATCAGAAGTACCTGGACATGTCATTGTAAAGTGCTCGTTTCCGAAGTATGTAAGATACACATGGGGGACTACAATAAACAAAGGCGAACCAGATGCATTGCATTGCGATGCAAAGGAGCAAACATTTTATAATTAAATATCTCATAAATTCAAAACGTAAATTAACCAGATCAGCAAATATCAGAAAATAAAAAATTATTGCAAAATGAACTAATTCATTCCCCAGGAAAGAAAGGTAAAGATGAAAGCGAAAAATGGAAACTCAAGAAAGAATTAAGAGCAGGTAATTTAACAGTATGTCAAGACAAATACAATTGCAAGGTTCAGTATGGAATATATAACAAGTTATACGAAACAGACTAGAAGAATCTAGCTAAACCTAACAGTACATGCATAATTCAGCAACTGTTTATAGGGTTAAAAAAAAACTACTGTTTTTCCTCATGCCTGCTAAATTGCTAATTTATAATATTTCAAACAATAATGTTAATGATGATTTCACAACATCTCTAGAACGATGAGATACGTGAATAACTTGTCAAATCAACTGCCACACGAGTGAGATAGAAAAATTGAGATCCTAACTTTATAAGCATTACCCTGTTTCAAATACTGCAACATTTTTTATAAGAAACAAAATGGACATGATATATAATTAACTATTACGTTTCAAGTTAAGAATAGGTTAAAGAAATTTAACCTAAATTAGCAAATTTAATAACCACAAATTATAATTTTATCAAACAAAATAAACCCTAGAATATAACAAAATTCAGCTGATAATTAACAGATCCATAACCGCAATTAATAATAATAAAAAATGAAGATCTAAAATTCTCACCAGAGAACCGCAAAGCAGCAATCTGCACATTAACACAAGCACCAAACAATAAATTAGGGGAAAAAAAAATTACCCTAAAACAGAAACACGGACATTAAAAAAAAAATAGAAAACATACAAGGAGTGTCTTTTTTAATGGAACCCAAGAGGTCACTGTGCCACAAGTTTTGGTAGCTTCGACGGAGCTGCATCTTCTCCATAGCAGCGGCGGACGCCATTTTCACCGTCTGATCTGGCGAGATTCAAACTCCGGCACACTAACACTTCGGTTGATTTTGATTAGATTGAAGATCCGGTGTGCGATTTGAGGTTTGAAATTAAAAAAAAAAAAAAAAAAAATCAGAAAGTGGGTCTGTCGTCTGTGTAGACGTAAGTCCCTCGATTTAAAAACAGTCCATATGGAAAGTCGTCTGAAGAAGACTACGAGGCTAATTTTACAGCACTGGCCGCTTCAAATTTGGAAAATGTTTTCATCGTGTCGCGTTTCTATTGGCGTTTCTAGTTGCTGGGCTGGCATTGACCTGGTCAACGCTTTAAAATATTTTAGAATACGGTTATACTTCCGAGGAGGAAATACAAATAGCAATTTCCTGGTAATTTGATTTTGATTTCTCCAAGGTGGAAACACGCTTGGCCGACGTGTAACGATTGAATTTCTGAAGGGTGATTTTTATTCACGTTATTTCATCTTTTCTTTTTAGCAAGGTTTTAAAATCTGACCCGGAGTCAACCCAATCAAGCCACCGGATCACAGGTTTGACGGGCCGAACGGTCTGACCGGCGGGTCCGACCGTGACGTCAGTATGATGACATCATCATGACGTCAGCAGAAAAAAAAAATTACTGATTTTGATTTTTAACATCATTAATCAAAATTTCCTTATAACAAATGTATTCAAATCTGAAATACAAGTTATAAACTATAAACTATAAATTATAAAGTAACAACTAACAAGTAGTTTAAAATTAAATTAAAACAACATAATCAAAATAAAACAAACACCCTATATTTTTATTACATTTCCAATTAATTCAAGTCAAGATTGACTTTGGGCATCAGATCTAGAAGCAAGATTACTTATATCAAGATCATCTTCGTCGTTGTCCTCGTTATTGTCATCATCAGCATAACCAGCATCTACAAAAAATTACAAGCAAAAATAAAGTTATTAGTAAAAAATTACAAGCAAAAATAAAGTTATTAGTTAAAGTATTACTAGATGAAAGATTGGACTATTATAAGAAAAGAAAAAAGAAACAAAAACGATATATATAGTTTGTTACATTGTCCCCCTAAGTATCATTAAACAACAATTTACACATAGTATCTAAAATAGCAATTTATCCTTTATAATCAGTATTCCAGTAAAATGACGAAAACCTATGTGACTAACAGCTAAATAGATCAGTAATCAGAAAGGATAAATTGTTATTTTAGATGCATTTGTTGTAACCTGAGTCTAATTCAATCAATCCACGAATCAATTCAACACAAACAAGAACCAAGAATAAAACACACACACAAGACAATATTTACCATGGTTCATCTATCCAATGTTAGGTAGATTACATCCATATTGAGCTCCGAAATATGGAGACTCACTGCACTAGGATTATTCAACAGTTACATAACGATTACAAGCTCGATCTACTAAATCTGAACAATACAACCACCCAGACTTAATCACTCTAATTTGTACCTGCAACTCACAAGATTTCAGAGCACTAATCTAGCCTTTGAAGGAAACGCAACCTTCAATCTAATCCTGCCCAGAATTACAACGAAATAGACACAACAATCAAGCCCTAATCAGTTTCTCAAACACTCAAAGAATGAACCCTAACAGAGAAGACTAACCCGATAAAAACTTATAATTGTTTTGCCCCCTTTTATATTATTGGCTGTCAACAAATGTGAGCCGCACGATCTGTCTTGAATCAATGTCCATGATTCACTTCTTTAAATAACCTGAAAAGGACACCGTTTGACTTCATAATACTTTCAGCATTTTTTACAATAAGGCGTTAGGAGCTGGGAAGTTGAGAAGGGCGAACGTTTTGCTTATTGTATCGCATATTGCGTTCATGGTTTCGCTGGCAAGTTTGCCTAAGGAGAGTAAGGGCCTAAGGGGGACTCGGTGTTGACATTGACGTTGACTATTTCAGTGGTGGTGGACTGATAGTTGCAGTTTAAGGTTGGGTTGGGGGAGAATAGCAATGACTGAACTGAAGAGAGGAATTGAATATAGCAATTTTATTTTTTCCTGTGTCCATTCTATATTTTAAATACATTGGCGTAAAACTAAATACTTTTATAAATTGGCCTTCTCGTTCTCCATTTGCACCAAAAACTATGAGGGAGAACAACATTTCCCACCCAAGGTTTGGCGAAAAGGACACTTTCCCACCTGTCAAGTTTCAAAATGACACTTTCCCACCCTTTGTCAAAATCTATTATGTTTTTTGTTAATATTTGACTAAAAAGACAAAAATGCCCTTAAATATTTGACTTTATAAAATTTTTTATTTTTGAATTAGCCAAAAAGTAAGATATTAAAAAGTCAAAAAAGAAAAAATAGTTAGCCCTAATTAAAAAGTTAAGAGTAATGTTATGAAATTGTTTAAAATTATATGACCTTAATATTTATTTATTTATTATGTAATAAATATCTCATTACTATTATTCAATAATCTACTAATATAATGTTTTTCATTTTTACTAATTAACATAAAAAATCTTAATAGTTGATATTCCTAATTAATTAAATAAATAAAGGAAAAAATATATCTTTACACTTGAGTAAAAGCTTTCACTTAACTAAATTTTAATTTATAATAAACTATTTAAGGGTATTTTTTTCTTTTAGTTAAATATTAATAGAAAACACTAACAGAACCTGACGAAAGGTGGGAAAGTGTCATTTTGAAACTTGATGGGTGGGAAAGTGTCATCTCGCCAAACCTTGGGTGGGAAAATGTTGTTCTCCCAAACCAAATTTAAAAAACAAGCTAAGGCAAAGTCATTTGGATTGGCATTTTGTGTTAAAGAAAGCCTGTCAATCAACTCACCCAACAGTATTTCGGCCAAATTAAATAAATTTAATCAAGGTTGGATTGGCATTTTGTGTTAAATAAATTTATTAGTTAAATGTTTTGATTGTAAACTAAATGGACTAATGTAATATAAAATTTAACAAACTAAATTAAATAATGTAAGTTAAATTAAATAACATAATTGAAAGTTATTAGTTAGAAGTTGGAACCTCAAGCCGCTTCTGTAGAATCATAATAGGCAGGGTGATCACCAGGACCAAAAGGAATAGATCCATCTCTATCAAGTGTTTGTTCCAATTGCTCATAATTAAGGTTAGCATCCTCCTCTTCGTCATCAACCACCCAGAAATCAGTCTTGTCGATGCTTTCATAATCAATAGGATCAAAACTAGTATTCTTGTAACTCATCCTTGAAGACTATTTTTAACTATTAAAATTTAAAAGCATGACAAATAAAAAGATCAAGGAAAATAAGAATAATGAGAAAATGAGTAAAATGTAATCAACAATGTTTTATACCTGTTTTTCAACCGCCAGTTATAATGAACAAATACAAGATCATTTAATCATTGATGCTCCAATCTATTCCTCGTTTTTGAATGTATGCGCTCAAAAACACTCCAATTTTGCTCACACCGGGAAGAGGTTGAAGTCTGGCTGAGAATTTTGATTGCAAACTTTGGTAAATTTGGAGTACTATACCCATATGTTCTCCACCATTCATCTAATTAAAAATTAGACACAAGAAAAAACTTTAATTCATAATGTGGAAATCAAACTTAAAACTCACAAATTAAATAACTATTACATAATACATACCGATCGTGTGGTTTTGCATGTTTGAATTGCAAGTTCTCGAGAAAAGCTGCCCCCGCAGTCTCGAAATATTCTTTTCTCCTCCACCAACGCAGTCTTGTTTAATTTAAATGCAGTTGCCTTACTCTCAACAACATCAAGAAAACCACATTGAACCTTTGGTTTGGAGCTAAATCCACTATCATACTGGAAAGCTGGATTTAAAAAGTAAGTTGCAGCATGAATATCACGGTGTAACATCCTATCCCATCGCAGCTTAATAATGTTTGCATAAGGCTTGTACAATATTTTCTAATTCTTAAACAACTTCTTGATCCCCAACCTCGTTCTGTATATGCCATCATACACATATCCGATGGAAGGTCTCTCATCCGAGTCTACAATCCATAGCCTACGCATCAACAGATCCACAACTTTGGAAACTATACACATTGCATCCCAAAATTTGTTGTCTAGAATTATGGAAATAACCTCCTTGCCTTTATGACTTTTTGAATGCCTAGAATCCACAAAGAATCTATTTGTCACCATGGCTTGCAAGTCATGTTTGTGATCCTGTAGACTTCTCAAGGCAATGAAAGTTATAGCAAAACGAGTTGCACCTAGGCATACAATTTCCATCCAACCCTGTTTAAGTGACAGAAGATAAATATACATGTTAGTAAAATTGTTTTCCAGATAATAATTAATATGTTATGACTTATAACTTCATAATAAAATAAGCTAAATATACACTACCTGTCTTTTCCTCAACCATGCTATCAACAATGTATGATTATACACAAACTTTGTCACCTCAGATGCACGTGTCACAAGAGTAGCTATGTGATTCATCTCAGCCATATCCTTTAACATCAAGTTTATGCAATGTGCTACACAAGGTGACCAAGTTATACTCTTAATTTCTCAGCCAACATTATTCCCGAAGCTTTATAATTTGCTCCATTGTCAGTGACAAGATGGACAATGTTATTTGGTCCAACCCATACAACCACTTCCTCAAGTAGGTGAACAATGTCACGACATCTTTCACAACATTTGAAGCATCCACTGACTTCACAAAGGAAACTCCTTTAGGGCAATACACAAGAAAATTAATCAATGACCTTTGGCAAGTATCAGTCCAACCATCCCCCATTAACTTACATCCAACATCTTCCCATGTTTTCCTACAACTGTCCACAAGTAGCTACACTTCCTTTTTAGCAGCTTTTAATAAATTGACTCGCATAGCATGATAAGTTGGGTGTTTATACCCAGGACCTATTGCAGCTATAGCATCCACCAATGGCTGAAGATAAATTGAATTTATTGCATTGATAGGGATGCAAGCATCGTAAAAAAACCTTGCAAAGTTCATATCAACTCTCGACATAACATCTTTCCTAGCCAAAACACTCTTAATTGAGGGTTAAGACCCAAGAGTAGTCCTTGGAGCAAAGAAGTTACTAATCCCAATTGGTTTATTTCTATTAGTGTTAGGGATTGTACATGGTTTTTTTCTAGCATAACCACCTTCATTCACAACCATTTCTGATGGATGCAGCTCTTGACAATCTTCACCCAACATGTCACCCTAAAA